AAGCGCCAGCGATCTTCTGACAGATATTACAACCGTAATTTGAAGACCTTTGTCTCTCTTTCTCTTTCTTTCTTTCTGTCTCTCCGAGTCGAGCTGTGCCGTGCGACGTAGATCTCGAAGCTCGGGATAGGATCGAGCTTGGAGATGTCGGGTTAAACGATGAGAAAACGGTACCACTGATTCGCGCGTAAAGGTGAAATTCAACGATCGCTGATATTTCATAACCGAGACGGTCTTGGCCTCGCCGATTTCCATTACACGGTTTAAGATCGTCCAATCTTCGATCTATCTTTCATGATAAATGATCGTGAAATCACTGCGTCCATCTTCGCGCCAAGTCAGTTTGATCACGACTGATTTTCCAATATAGAAAAAAAAGATTCGATGATTTCCCAATAATCCCTTAATCTCGTGATCGTTGATCTTTAATTTCCTTGAATGGATATATTTTATTGCTCGCGAACAGCATTTTATTTTACGATACAAATTTTTTTGTATGATTATATTTTTATATTTGTGATAAAATTTATTACAAATTTGTAAAACTACATTACTAATAATTTTTTTACATTAATAATAAAATTAATAGGATCATAATATATTCCTTCTTCGCAATTAATAAATTTATAAGATTACTCATATAGGAAAGAAACAATTAGTTTTTAAAAGAATGTCGCGTCGTTTTATCTTTTGATCCGAGAATCGTCGATACGAAGGTAGAGATACAGCGGAGGCAAGCCCCTTCTTAAAATAATGCGTGGTTACGTCCCGTACTCTCTAGACTCAAGCCTCTAATTTTCAGAGCGATCATTCGGCATATCGAGCCTGTTGCATTCATTAAGAATTCACCAGGAGGTACGGATTAAGGACCCTCCTGTGTACGCGAACACCTGGTATCTCTTTACGAGATGGAACTTAAATCGTCCAGCAAAGGAATGCGTAGTATCGAAGGAAAGGTTGAAAAGGAAATGTCGGGTAATCATCGCGGAGAGATGAAGGGCACACGAATGGAAAAAAAGTGAATGGACTTGATGAGAAAGAGCGAGAGATACAGAGAGAGAGAGAGAGAGAGAGGAGAGAGAGAGAGAGAACAATACGGTAGTTTGTCTAGTTTTCGTAATCGAAATAATCTTATAATTGATGTATTTTTCAAATATATTGTGTGTTGCGATGAAATTGCTAAACTCAATTTTTATAATATTGCTCTAAAAAAATCTTTTGATGAACTTTCCTGACAGAGAGAAAGATCATTAAAGCTAACTTAATATATTTGAAACATTTAATATCTCTCGAAAATAAAAAAAATTTAACTTTTTCTCTAAATAAAGATCTTAATAATAATCTTCTAAATAAAAGTCTCAAATTCCTCAGAGTATATTTTTAGACGTCATAATTCATATTTAAATAAAAAAAAAAAACTTTTTGCGAAACTGTTACATTAATCTTGCCGAGGATCTTAACGATCTGAAATCTTCCGAGAACCACAAATGTCAGTTATTTTCAGTATCTAATTAATTATCAATATCACATCTGTCATCATGGAAAACTAAATTTCCATTACCCGTAATTATGCAGATATCCACATAGGAATTTTTTCCCAGCACCTTCAAGCATCTCGAAGTATGCTTCTCACGAGAGCCATAAGTGGAAGACATGACAGCGCGATGCATGACGCTCTCTAATTATAATGTACGCGATGGTTCTTAGATAAGATTAAAGATTCATAAAGAGAGCAGTGGAATATCGATTACCAACTATCCACCGATAATCCCGACAAATGGCTATATATGCAAACACCTGGTCCGAAGATGCGAGAGAAGATCGGAGCGATGGTGGAGGTTTTAAAGGAGCAAAAAGAAATAAGAGAGAGAGATTGCGAGGATGAAGTAGGGAATGAAGGTCACGTAAGAGGGGCAGTTGATCGTCCTTTATGCAGATGAAAGAGAGCCATAAGATGAAGCGCGGACGCATGCACGCGAGAAAGAATGAGAGAAACGCCTTCTACCGGAACCAAAAAGTCGTCCGAGTAATTGCGACGCATCGACCGATCGGGCCGGCACCCATGGGCGGTTTGCGCGCGAGGAATGTGCATCCCTGAGGAACGAAACTGCGCGCAAGACTTCGTCGCAACGCCTGGGGGATTACATCCCTCGAACATGCGAAGACATTGAATACGATCGAGATTACGCCGATTTCCTCGCGCCTCTCTGCATATTGATGGTAGTCCATTAGAGCGGAAATTACGCTTGGAGATAAATTAATGTTACGTACGCAAGTGTATTGCACTAACAGCGTACACATCCGCGGCAAGATTCCGACGAATGGAAGAGATTTATACAGACGCAATTCCTTAGCAAAAGTTTAATTTATCGAATTTACCGTAATATAATTTTTAATTTCAATGTTGGCTCCCTCTTTATTTATCGGTAGTCAGTTCTTTCAATTCTGAAAAAAATGTTTAGTGAAATATAATTTATTTGAAAATATATAGCAAAATCTACAAATTTAAAATCTCATCAGGGATATCAAGAAATTACATGCTTTTGCAAAAGAGATTTAATTTTAGCGATTTTTTTCGTCAAAAATACGATAAGAACGACTAAAAGATCGAGACGAGCGCATTATTCGCACAGATTGTCGGAAGATACACGTGTGTACAAAGGTACGCTGCGCTTAAGTGCTACTAGGTAAGGTTTGTGGGAAAAACTTGATCTCACTTCCGTCGCGTTTGTGGCCCTTAATAAGATGAACGTAAGTCAATGATCGTCTTTTCATTCTGTATCGTTTATTTTCTTGCGCTATATGACATACATATCGTGCCGAGGCTTTTGTGTCGCTATGCCGACTTTAATTATTTATCGGTCAATTAATAAGATCCGGAATCTCGACATGCTTGTGGAAAGAATTAAAGGCAGTCGTCTTCGAGATCTTATTTTACTATAACAATTTAGAATCAAAAGACTTGTACTTTTTATTATATACGATTATTTCTCTATGTCAATCATCATTAAGAACTTGATATATATATTTAAAATTATGAAATTCTATTAAAATAACATCTCTATTTGAAGCTAAATAAGAAATAAGAAATTGCGATTTTCTTGTGCATCATTGAAGCTTATTCGTAGGATTTCTGCCTACCATCAACTAACATTTAATCATTTAATCAACGACTCTTCCTATTTTCCTACCTACTTTATATTCTGATAAATACTATCACTATGATTACACATTTGTGATTACGCTCCAACAGTTTTTGCAAGTGCGATCTTCTTTTTATGCAATTTATGTATTTCCTCGAGCACGGAATATATCTTGCTGTCGTTCAGCTCACGAGAAAGCTAATTATAGTTCGCAGGACAATAATAACTGAGAAGATACGTTTTTTTAATCATCATATATATATAGTGGAAAGAATTAAAGGCAGTCGTCTTCGAGATCTTATTTTACTATAACAATTTAGAATCAAAAGACTTGTACTTTTTATTATATACGATTATTTCTCTATGTCAATCATCATTAAGAACTTGATATATATATTTAAAATTATGAAATTCTATTAAAATAACATCTCTATTTGAAGCTAAATAAGAAATAAGAAATTGCGATTTTCTTGTGCATCATTGAAACTTATTCGTAGTCTTTCTGCCTACCATCAACTAACATTTAATCATTTAATCAACATGTTTTTTAATCAGCGCTCTGTAAAAGAGAGTCTTCGTTTTTTTAATCATCATATATATATATATATATATACACATACATCCTGTCTGCTAGAAACCTTTCGCGAGACCAGGTTTTCAAACCGCTACCTATTACAATGTTACACGATTTATCGGACGAAGAAGGATCTATTCGCAGTACAAAAAATATATGTATACGCATAATATTCCTCATTAATAATTACAATAAACGCGTGGACTGCGAGAGCTTTGATCATGATTTGGCTTTTATTATAGCGTAGATCATGCATGAAGTAATTTACGATGGCGCTTTTTGCGTGAATATTGATTGTAACGAGAAAAAGAGAAACATGAAAAAGAAAGACCGCCAGAGAGCCTTGATTTTTGTTCGACTTCCAACTACACATGCATGTTTTTCAATCAGCGCTCTGTAAAAGAGAGTCTAGTCTCTTACGAATGTTCTTCAGACATAGATAGACGGAATTGCCATTGCAAAATAGATTTTCTCATAAAATGAAACTTATGAAATTAAAGTGGAAGAAAAGTAAATTTTTTTTTGAAATTTTTATTATATTTTATTAAAACCAGCTTTGTGATCAAAAGTAAAAAATTTTTAGATTGCTCGAATATATTAAAGAGGAAGTACTAGATAAAAATATTTCTAACACTTTTAGATTTATTACTGAAGAAACACTAAAAATTATGCGTTACAATAATTTTGTACCTTTCTTTGCACATTAATCGCGCCAACTTTCATATCTTATAGATATGTATATGTAGATGGAAGAAAGCATAATATTACTCGTCTCACGAGTTTGCTGGTAATCCCACCTGTCATCGTCACACCTGTCTCTCGCGATAACTTAGTGGTAACGTTAATGACCTTTCACGGATTGCTGAATGCAGAACACGTGAGTGTCTGAGCACGAATTTAGTTACCACTTTGAATGCCATAATTCTCTACACAGTCGCAATATTATATCTGCCTGATAAAATGTGATATTGTGTGTGTGATATATTATCTTTATAATATAATTTCAAAATAAAAAATATATCTAAAATCATAATTTATGATACTTTATATTTTGTGCGATTAGAAATGACAAAATTAGATTCGAGATAAATTATGCTTAACATTTATTTTTCATTTAATGAATTATTTAATATTATTTTTATTAAATTGTTTATTTTAACGAAAGTGATATTTTATAAATAGATGCTAAAATTATATCAATAAAATTTTGCATCTCTCGCGAAATTCAACATTTAGCAGTTTACATAGCTAGCTCTAATAGACATTTATCCTCTTCATTTCAGATGGCACCGTAATCATGAGCGAGGTTCTCCAAGATTACAACCCCCAGTTCAACGTGGGCTGTTACTTTCCTGCGGAATTCCAGGGCGAATTCGTGATGCAGGTGAGCGGAAAGGGCGTCGGAAGCATGGCGAACGAGCCTATTCAGTATTCTACCATTAACATCACCTTCAACGCGATACCGGTGTGGGGCTATTGCCACAAGAAGGTCGGCGATAATGTGCTGTTAATGGACAGGTCAGTTAATTCAACAAATTGCGAACATTTCCTACATCAAAGAAAGTGTCGAGATTCCATTTAGCGATTAATTCCGTTAATAATTAGAAAAGTCGTGTCTACAAGCGAATTCTATAGGATCTATCGTTAAATGAGTAGATTGGTGAATTAATGTAGCAAGGATATAATACTTATTGCTCGATATACTTTCTTCGATGAAGAGTTAATTAATTTAAGAGAAATTTGAGAAATTAATTTAATAGGTAAAAAATTAAAAGCGATATTCCCAAATTAAGCTTTAAGAGTGCGAATAAAATTTTGAAATTTTAATTTGGGATTTAATTAATAAAATATTTAAATAAATTCTTGCAATTTGCGATAAATAATAATCTCTGATTACACATACACGCACGCAATTATTAGTTCGATTTACTTGACAAGATATATAATTTATTTTTATCACTATTTTTTAAAAATAATCTCTACGTTACCGTCATTTTTATTTATGAATCATGACACAATTTTATTTTTGTATTTTACTATACATTCTGTGTAACTAAGTTGTCAAGTGGCACATGACTATATTTTTAAATCTTTATCAACCTCGCGCGTTAAGATCTCCAAACTAAGGTGTTAAAGTCTTAAAAACCGCGAACGATCGTTGTGAAAGTTTACAGACACATAAAAAGTCTTGAAAGCGCGGCACCGTAAACACATTGAAGTTCTGATTTATTGATAAAACAAGAAAGAACAGAGTTTTGGTTGACGCGTTCGAAGAACGATGGCATACTCGGTTTAAAAGTAACGGTATATTCATAAAACGATGCATTTGTAACTAGGATATCTGCGAAGCTTATTGCACATGTAAATGCCGTTAAACGAGACAGCGAAATAGTGGTGAAAGAACGCGATGCTCGTCGTTAAATATGTTTCTAACGATATCGAACTTCAGGATCATTTCACGTCCTCTTATCAAGATTCGAAATGCTCTGATGCGTTTGCATTCTAAGGAATATTTAATGCTGAGATTATATATGAGAGAAACTGTAATGCATTTTGTATATATCCTAGAGTTATGTAATTTGCATATGATTTTTCCGATTTGTCGAATATGGATACTTGGTTTTCACAGAATTTTGAATTGACAATTAATTTGACGAATAGATTACATAACGTTAAATTTTATTTCTACTGAATTTTATATTTTAGTAGAATTTTAATTTAAACAATTTAATTACTAAGATATATAATATGATAAGCGCAATTGAAACAATTAAACTTTCGTTGAAAATCGAAATTTGCCGAAATATTTATAATCGAGAAGAAAAAAGTGCATAATTTTTATTGCTTTCTATATAAGTCACTGCGAGTCTAGACGGGAGAATGTAGGCAGATTATTCGCGCTCAGAAGGGGGTGAGCTCTTTTTATCAAAAAGGCAGAGAATTCGACGACGACGACGACGAAGGGATATTGCCGTCGCGGAAAATGGAAAGGGTGTGAAGGGGTTAAGGTTAAATTAGCTTGCTGATGTCTCTTGGGATGCCACGACGTCTGCGGCTCGTCTGAAACAAAAATAGCCGGTTTTCCAGACACTCGTGTCGCATGCGTATTGCGAACCCGAGCTAATTCTAGAAAGAGGACGAAAGTCATAAAACAAAAAAGAAATGATGAAGCATCGAGTCGTCTTCGCGCTTTAAATTGACGTAGCTTCAACATTGTTCCTTTGAAAGAAGAGAGGAGGGGGAGGGGAAGAAAGAGAAAGAATCTATTATCGGGGGTTACATGGAGGAAGGCGAGACGCGATTAAATGTTAGATATTATTTATAAAACTGCGGTTGCCATTCTTAGAAAGTCTGGAAAGTTTTTATTACAATTTTTATACACTTTTTTATTAATTTATTAATGTTTAATTAAAACATATATATAGATCTTCGTTTATATATATTTTAGAAAAACGGAAGAAAATAGATAAAAATCGTCCAGCCATTTTGTTAATCAACACATTCGCGGAGAATTTCAACGTTGCATCTCATAGAGATCCAAAGTTCGAGAACCTCGTCGCGCCAATCGATAGTTCTTCGATGCATCTGGACGATGCTCACGAAGCTATGTGGGTGTTGTCCGTTCAAGTATGCATAAATTGGCATACACGTGAGAGCCTACCCCTTTCTCTTCTTCTTCTTCTTCTCTAGACACGATCGTATACTTCGCGATTCACGTTGAATCGTTAACGAACTATGAATATTCCGAGAAATCATATCTTTGATTGTCTTTATTATCGTCACCGTCGCATTTACGATCTAGAAAAGATCTTTTCCAAGTTTGCAACGTGATATTATATGCTCAGTGTTGTGAAAATAAACTTTGTAAACCGAAATATAAAAACAAAGATACAATAATTTTTTGATTTTTGATATTCGTCGTATTTGATATATAAACATAATGTTTAATTCATGATAATTATCATAAATTTGATTTTTTATTTCTCGTCATTGATTAATCGACTAATTCATCATAATATGAATAATGATAATAATAAAGCGCATGATTTTCTCTGAAGAATTTATTACACGGACAGATAGGCTGTGATAGATATAATTTGAATAATAAGTAAATGGCTGGCGATCACTATTACATATGTATCGCTCGAGGCAACTCGTTAATTGCTTGAGGTTTGATCGTGGTTTAATTGCCGTGCATTTTTTTTCTTTTGTAAACCTTTCGCAACGTTCCGTTCAATGGATCGTGTGTCCCACGATTTTTACGAATCGTGGTCGTCACGTGTTATTTAAATGACAGTGACGTTTATGCGTATGTCGCGAGGATAGTCCCTACGAGCAAGGCCGCAGCTATTAAGCGATAATCGCAGCTTGTAATAATAATTCGCTGGAGCGACAAGCAATACGCCGCGAAAGCTGTGTGCAGAATTCGCGTAAATTGCCTCACCACGCCCGCGGTTGTCGGCAATGTTCTCACACAGATGATGATCGCTATATTCCACGTCTATCGCGAAAGTCTCCTCGGTAAAATTACCGACAAATACGCGACGAAATACGGTTGGTTTATCTGCAAGAATTATAATGCATGCATCGAGCCTATATGATCATAAAACTATAAACATTATTAATATTCGAAATATGTGTATGATTATTAAACATAATATAATTATTAAAAATAAAGAGGATGTCAAAGTTAGCTATATTGTTATCTCAAAAAGGAGAAAAAATAAAAATTAGATATTTTTTATTCTCACACGCATTTATTTCTAGAATATTTATGAAAATTATTATTTATTTCTAGAATTATATTTATAAAAATTTAATTTTTTTACCTCTTCCAAAAATATTGTCTTGTCGATCATACAATATTATATCAATGTGTGTGAGAGAAAATGATGACGTTCGCTTGTGAACCGTCCGGTACAACGCGTGCTTATGCGTTTCGTGGCATAACAATCGTTCTAAAGCCGTTGAAAAACGGCATCGGAAGA